CTGGGGTCCTCCTGGCCCTGCCGAGTTTCTCCAGCCAGGTTCAGCATCTTCCCCAGGCCCCTCCGTCTTCCTCCCTGGAGCCAAGATTAGCAAGCTGAGTGGGTGCCCCTCAGACTCTGCTCTTAGGTCCCACTGGACTTCCTGCCACACAATCCACACAGTGACTCAAGCGCCCCTGTGGTGCAGACAGCATGGGCCAAGCCAGGACGTTGCGCCTTACTCTGCCTCCTGTGTCACCCAGGCAGACTCTGAGAGAGCCCCCAGCATCTGCAAAATCAGATAAGGATCAAAGGCACCTGGCCAAGCTTATCGTCAAATGAAATACAAGTCATAGTTTTCAGTAGACTCTGACAAGCCACAAGCATGTGCAGCCCTGGCCTGTATTTCTAATAACACTTCCCTGCCTCTCAGTCGTCTCCTTTCAAAACTAAACGAAGCCCAATTCTTTCAGGTTTCCTTCATAGGTCAAGTTCTCTAGACCTTTCATCATTCTTGTTGCTCTTCTCTGGACCTTCTCCAATTTCTTCATATCTTTCTTGAAATGTGGTGCCCAAAACTGGACACAATACTCCAATTGAAGCCTAATCAGTGCAGAGTAGAGCGGAAGAATGACGTCTTGTGTCTAGCTCACAACACTCCTGTTAATGCAGCCCAGAACAATCTTGGCTTTTCATGGAACAGCGTTGCACTGTTGGCTCATATTGAACTAGTGATCCACTATGACCCCTAAATCCCTTTAAGCAACGCTCCTTCCTAGACAGTCACTTCCCATTCTGTATGTGAGAAATGGATTGTTCCTTCCTACGTGGAGCACTTTGCATTTGTCTTTATTAAACTTCATCCTATTTACCTCAGACCATTTCTCTAGTTTGTCCAGATCATTTTGAATTTTGACCCCTATCCACCAAAGCAATTGTGACCCCTCCCAGCTTGGTATCATCTGCAAACTTAATGAGAGTTCTCTCTATGCCATCATCTAAATCGTTGATGAAGATATTGAACAGATCTGGTCCCAAAACAGACCCCTGCGCAACCCCACTTGTTATGATTTTCAAGCAGGATTCTGAACTGTTAATAACTACTTTATGAGAATGGTTACACAGCCAGTTATGCACCCACCTTATGGTAGCCCCATCTAAATTGTATTTGCCTGGTTTATTGATAAGAATATCATGTAAGACTGTATCAAATGCCTTACTAAAATCTAGGTATACCACATCAACTGCTTCTCCCTTATCCACAAAACTCGTTAGATTTGTTTGACATGTTTTGTCCTTTACAAATACATGTTGGTTGTTACTCATCACCTTATTATCTTCCAGGTGTATGCAGATGAATTCCTTATTTACTTGCTCCATTATCTTTCCTGGCACAGAAGCTAAACTGTTTGGTCTGTAGTTTCCTGGGTTGTTCTTACTTCCCTTTATATAGATGGTCACTAGTTTTCCCTTTTCTAGTCATCTGGAATCTCTCCTGTCTTCCATGATTTTTCAAAGATGATAGAGGAGGTATCTGAGCCTTTAGCTATTAGCTCCTTGAGTATTCAATGATGCATTTCATCAGGCCCTGGTGACTTGCAGACATCTAACTATTCTAAGTAATTTCTAACTTGTTTTTTTTTAATCTTCTAAACCTACCCCCTTCCCACTAGCATTCACTATGTTAGGCATTCCTTCATCATCAGACTTCTTGGTGAAGACGGAAATAAAGAAGTCATTAAGAACCTCTGCCATTTCCGAGTTTCCTGTTACTGTTTCTCCCTCCTCACTGAGTAGTGGGTCTACCCCGTCTTTGGTCTTCCTCTTGCTTCTAATATATTTAAATAATGTCTTCTTGTTTCCCTTTCTATCTGTAGCTAGTTTGATCTTGTTTTGTGCCTTTACCTTTCTAATCTTGCCCTTACATACTTGCATTGTTTGCTTATATTCATTCTTTGTAATTTGACCTAGTTTCCACTTTTTATAAGACTCCTTTTTGATTGTAGATAGAATCATAGAGCTGGAAGAGAACTCAAGAGGTCAAGTCCAGCCTCCTACCCAAGGCAGGACCAATCCCAAGTAAATCAACCCAGCCATGTCCCTATCAAGGCAAGACTTAAAAACCGCCAGATGTGGAGATTCCACCACCTCCCTAGGTAACCCATTCCAGTACTTCACCACCCTACTAGGGAAATAGTTTTTCCTAATGTCCAACCTAGACCTCTCCCACTATAACTTGAGACCATTGCTCCTTGTTCTGCCATCTGTCACTACTATAAGTGATGTGAGGTCTCCCGGTTCAGCCACGGTGGTCTCTTGCCATACTTTCTATTTTTCCTATGCTGCTAAATAGCTTGATTTTGGGCCCTTAATAATGCCCCTTTGAAAAACTGTTAGCTCTCTTCAGTTGATTTTCCTCTTAATCTTGCTTTCCATGGGACCTTACCTATCAGCTCTCGGAGTTTACCAAAATCTGCCTTCCTGAAATCCATTGTCTCTCTTTTGCTGTTCTCCCTTCTACCATTCCTTAGAATCATGAACTCTATGACAGGACCAGAAGCAATGGGCTTAAATCGCAGCAAGGGAGGTTTAGGGTGGACATTAGGGCTACATCTATGCTGCGGAGCTATTTTGGGACATTAGAAGTATCCCAAAATACCTATTCCATGTCTTTTGAACATGCCAAATATAATAGGTTTGCTATTCCACGGTCCCTGGAATCCTCGTTCCACGACGAGTAAGAGACGTTTCGGAATAGTGCTCTATTTCAAAATTAACTCAAAATAAGCTACTCAAATTGCGTAGCTTATTTCTATTCCAGGTGCCATGTAGACACACCCTGGGATAAGCTTCCTAACTGTCAAGGTAGTTAAGCACTGGAATAAATTACCTAGGAAGTTTGTGGAATCTCCATTACTGGAGATATTTAAGGGAAGATGGGATAGACACCTGTCAGGGAGGATCAGACGGTGCTTAGTCCAGCTGTAAGGGCAGGAGACTAGACGTAATTTCTCGAGGCCCGGTCTAGTTCTAGAATTCGAGAC